ATTAAGATCTTTAAAAATTGTTAACTTTTTAAGGTAAAAGAAAATTTACTTATTTACTAAACATTTTTGCTGGAAACTGATTTCTGTAGCTCCAGGTAAGGTGAATACTCCATTGGGGCATCATCAGGTATGAAGTCAAATATGCAAAGTTGTCATAGGATTAACTATAGGAATTGAAATTTTGGTAACAGTAGTGTAATATCTTGCTGTTCTGTGGATGCTCTCTGTTTCTACTAGAAATTAAGTTCAAAATACAGATTGATGCCTTACAGAAGTGATTGTTACATTCAGCAAAGTCAGCTGGGAGTTTGATGCGAGATAAACTCACGTTAAAATTTTTTTTAATTGTGGTAAAATATACATAAAATTTTCCTTTTTAACCATTTAAGCATACAGTTCAGTGGTGTTAAGTAATTACATTCACACTCTCGTGCAACCATCACCATCACCCAATGCTTTTCATCTTCCCAAACTGAAACAGCATACCTATTAAACAATGACTCACCATCAGATAAATTTGCTTTTATTTAGGTTTTTTCTGTCTCTTGATTTTAACTCTGATTCATTTGCTTCATTTAGCTCTTCCACAACTGAATTTAATTGGTCTCTTGTCTCTTGATGATGTATATTCTAGACAGTACTATTTTGACTTTCTGTATGATTATGTTTCTGTTTTTTGCCTTGTTCTAGCTGCTTTGTTTCCAATTGCTAGGTTTTCATCAAAATTAAATACTTTTACTTTCTTTGCTGCTTTTTTTTTTTAGCTTCTGTAAGCTGTGGATTTATTAATTAAAGTAGAAATACTGTGAGGTAATTGCAATAAAATTTTTGCTATTTGTCTTCCAAACTGCCAAGCAGAAAAATGCAACTAGATCAGGAGTGACCTATAAATTTAAGACTATAAATACAGTCTTATTTCTGCACTCAGCTAGTGAGGCACTTCTCAAAATTTCTATAAAGCAATTAGGTGACCCTAGTCTTTCTAGTAGACCCACTCCTCTATCCTTTGAATTTCATGTAAAGTGGTAGGTAGGGCTACAGCCTTGAGTAGATTTGGAGTCACTTTTTTTTTTAATGTAAGAATATTTGAAATATTTGGAATTTCCTTCGTTAATCGTACATGCCCTTTTTTTAAAAAAAAAAAATTTTACCTAAGCCTGCTCAGTGTACTTTGTATATTTTAAGAGAAAGTCATTAAAAGTTCTCCATCAAACTTATACCTAATAAGTTTGGTGTTCTTTGATGAGTCAATGATTACTGGCTTGATATTGGGATTACTTTTGAACTTGGGACCATTTATTGCCAATATAAAACTGTAGGGTTTTCCAGACTGAGGATGCCAGATTTCTTTCAATATGTGAGGTATTTTAAAGCTAGTGTTTTTAATATTCTAGGTAAAAATAACTTAAACATCTAGTGCAATCCTTTCAGAGAAAAGATAAGAGTTATGCCCTGTCCAGCTCTCAGCTGGCAAAGTTAGGACTAGAAGTCTTCTTGATGTAATTTTGTTGTTCTTATGAAACTTGAGTGGCCTCTGGTGGTCAAAATAATATCTTCTATTTTTAAAGGTGTGTTTGAAGGGAGTCTTGCTTATTAAGGTGCATAATTTTTTATTTTGAGAGTTTTATTTATACAAATATGAAGGTTTAGTTATTTTTCTCCATTCGTACATACAGACACAAATCCTTATGTCTGTATTTTCCCACCTACAGGAGATTGTTGAAAACTTTAAATTTGATTCCTGAAAAGACTCAAGTAAGTAGTATAGTAATTATTCATACATTCTTTGTGGGCAGCCAGTAGATTTCAGTATTTTATTGCTGTATCTAGTTAAGAAACCATATAGGATTTCTTTAGAATTCTTGTAGTTTATTTTTGTTTCTCATTAATTACAAAATCTTACTTTTCCTTATGTTCTCCTTTAGTTCATTAATTTATAGTCATAATTTTTGCCATCAATTGACACATTATACTTATTGAATGATTTTCAGGATCTTTAACAACAGTTTCTTGTTTTTATAATAGGTAATAAGATGTATAAAACATGCAGTGAAAATATTTCCCCTCCTATACTCCAGCCACCCCATTTTTCCCAGACGCAGGCACGGTTATGTTCTCTTGCTTATACTCCCAGAAGTGGTCTGTGCAAAAGCATATATGTATTCATATCTTGCCTTTTTACTTCCAGAGTGTCAGCAGACTCTACATGTTAGACTGCCCTTTGCTCTTTTTTACTTAGCAGTGTATCTTGGCAATCTTTCTATATTGTTATATATGGGATTATTTTTCTTTGAAATGGTTTGCATAGAATTCCTTTATATGAATGTACAGCACTGTATTTAACCTGTACCCTCCTGAGGGACATTTTAGGTTGCTTTCAGTTTTTGCCATGCACATGTACAAGTATACGTACAAGTGGAATTGCCAGGTCAAAGCATATGTGCATTTAACATTTTCAATAGATATTGTCAAATTGTTCCCAGTCTATTCCAAATTATACTTCCTCCATTAATTATGAGTGTTCCTTTCCTTACTCTCATCAAAACAGTTTGCTTTCTTCAGAGCTTTGGGTACTCTATTATAGTTTTAGTTTTCATCTTCTTTATTTTGAAGAAAGGTGGGCATCTTTTCAAAAGATTGAGCCATTGTGTTTCCTTTTTTGTAAACTGTCTTCATATCATATGTCAATTTTTCTTTTGGGTTGTTGATTTTTTCCTGTGATTTGATTTCAGTGTGTTGCTGTTACTATTTCTGTGTACTGTATCTTAAGTAGTATAAAACCTAACTCATTCTTTAGACTGAAACTCTTTTACTGAAACCTGGATTCAGTAAAGGTAGGTGAGGAGAAGCAACGTTGACTATTTCTTTTCCATGTTGACTATTTCTTTTCCTTTTAAGCTTCCATCAGTTCTTCTACCTAAAAGACTGGTTACTTTGAAATAACACTGTTAATGATGTCTGATTGTAGAGTTAGAATTCAGGTTGATGTATGCATAATGTTAAAAGCTAATTTGTAATTTAAATTAACATTTCCCTAGGCATCTTTGGTTAGTTAGTTCATTTTATTTGGTCTGATTGTATTAGAAAATATTATAGGTTTGTTTGTTACAGAGAAAATTAAGATTGATTTTACTATGATAGTGTTAAAAAAATATTGCTCTCATCTTCCAGTCTTTGTTCTTTCCTTAGCCTAAACTAACCTAAACCATTACAGTTCTGTGCTGCCAAAATGGAGTGTCTATTTCTTTTTCTTCCCCCTTAGTATTACATCAGAAAGAACCACCAAAAATCTCTTGACATACGGCTTCTCTGAAATATTTTTCATCTTCACTGATCTGTGGACTATGTATGTGGACTTGTTGCCTTATTTTCTATGTACTAAAAGGCCATAACTTGGTACCTGTTCCATTTTCACTTCTCGTTCATGATCATCCTTCTACACATCAGGATGGTTCACAGTTCTAACCTGCTCCATGATTACTTCACCCTCTCCCAGTTCTGCCCTGTTATAACTATTTGTCATCTACTCCAGGGCTTGCCAAGCTATTCCCTGTGGGCTACCTGCCTGGTTTTGTAAATAAAATGTTTTGGGAACACGGCCACACCCATACATTTATATATATTGCCTATGACTGCTGTCATTTATACTACCAGAATTGAGAAGTCGTGACAGAGACCTGTGATCTGCAGGGCCAAAAATATTTGTCTGGTCCATTAAAAAAACATTTGCCAACCCCTCAATTACTGTATCACCATTTCATGTAAATGACCTTTGAGCTGTTTCCTGTACCCTATTCTCATCTTCTGTCTTGTTTGCCTTGTTTACGTGTTCACAGGTGCTCTTTCATCTGGACTCTGTAACGCACTGCATTAGCCCTCTACCCAGAAAATGTCAGCTGTCTGTCAAAGTAGGAAGCCTCTCTCTGCATCCCAAATGGGGAAAATGCTGACAGAACTTTTAATTTCAATTTTTATGAAGGTGCCTCTGCATTAAAATAAGATTATAATATTAAAAACAAAATCAAGAGTGGTTTGTCTCAGGGTTTGTTGAGTGTGTTTTGTGGGTTTTTTTTTTCCTATTTATTTATTTATTTTGGCTGCGTTGGGTCTTTGTTGCTGCGCACAGGCTTTCTCTAGTTGTGTTGAGTGGGGCTACTCTTCGTTGTGGTGTGCGGCCTCATTGCGGTGGCTTCTCCTGTTGCGGAGCACAGGCACTAGGTGCGTGGGCTTCAGTAATTGCAGCATGTGGGCTCAGTAGTTGTGGCACGCGGGCCCTAGAGCGCAGGCTCAGTAGTTGTGGAGCTTGGGCTCTGGGGCATGCCGGCTTCAGTAGTTGTGGCTCACCAGCTCTAGAGCGCAGGCTTAGTATTTGTGGCGCATGGGCTTTGTTGCTCTGTGGTGTGTGGGATCTTCCCGGACCAGAGCTTGAACTCGTGTCCCCTGCATTGGCAGGTGGATTCTCAACCACTGCGCCACCAGGGAAGTCCTGTTGAGTGTGTTTTTACAGGATTGTTTATTTAGTATTTTTTTCAGTTAAATCTACTTCATTGGACATAAAGAGACAGTAAACTCCAAGGATGTAGAAAAGCTGAAACTACTGTTGTACACACCATCCAGCTTTGCTTATTAGCCTTTTACACTGTTCATTAAAATGAATCTTTTCTAATTTTTACTCTATGAGAATGAAAAATCTGTGGTCTTACGGATCTTCCCACAGTTGATGAGAATAAGGTCTTTGAAGCTTTTAAGTAGCCTTGGAAATAGAAGGAAGGTGGAGCTTTCTATTACTTTTTTTGTTTTTAAGAAAATTTCAAATTGTTTTGAAGAATTGCCATAATCATTGTTTTTTCCTTTTGGTCACTTACATTTTTTTTTTCCCTTAAGTATCTCTGGAAAATATCTCTATTAGAATGTAATCATTTACTTTTTCCTTTTCTTCTTTACTATTTCAGAGTAACATAAAACCCATTATTCTTTGATTTCTTTTTTTTATTCTTTAGTGGCTTACAGAAGAGATGAAATGTGGTCTGAGGGACGATATGACTATGAAAGACCTCCAAGAGAAAGAGTACCTCCTCGAAGTCACCCCAGTGTAAGTTGTTCTTACCTGTAGAATAATTCAGAACCAAGTGTCCAAGTGAATTTTGTCTACCAAAAACTAGTTGAGATGTAGATAGATCAAGCTTATCTTTTAAAAGTAAAAAGTTTGAAAATGAAAGGCAACATTTTATTTATGTAGAAAATCTGTATTTTATATTTCTTGCTTAAATTTCTAAAAGGGAGTTAATTTGTTAAGAAAATTTGAGGTTTGATAAAGCTCAGACCATCAGTTAACAAAGAAATATTTGAGCACCTGCTCCTACTATTGGCTGTCACCTGTTTTTCTGTATTCCTAAAAATGTTTGCAACTTGGATATGTGAAATTCTAAAGTAGGAGGAGGTAGGCAGTTTCTGCTTTGCTGTTCTACTGCTTGTCTCTTTGTTGCTCTGGGAATTGGTAATTTTGAACCAGTCCTTTTCTTTCCTAAAGGAGCTTGCTGTTTTGCTTATTATTGTATTCCCAGCACTGTGTTTAGTACCTGGCACATAGTAGGAGCTCACTGTTTATTGAATGTGTGTATGCTCTCTTTCTCTCCTCAAAATCCTCTATAGAGACCCAAGGGAGGGTTTGGGTAAGGTCAAGAAGCTGTCAATCTTATTAAACTTTTGCTTAGGCCCATTCTAAGCACCAGGGGGTTGGGTTCATGGTGATGGTATATGGGTATATATGGATTCATTATACACTATCAGAGGGCACAAATATTAGTTTATATGTTAGTTATTTTTTGTATATTTTGTAAGAAAATCCTACAACCCATTTAAATGGGTGATATCATCTTCATGGTTGTCATTTGGCCTAGGTTACAGCTTAGCTTGGGGTTGATCTAAAATGAATTAAGATGGAAAAAATGAAGAGGCCGCCCATATTTCAGAAGGGGCAGACTTAATTATTATAAAATGTCATTTCTTTCCAGGTTAATTAATAGTCTTGATGTTTCTAATCAAAATCTCAATTTAAAAATTTTTTCAGCTTGATAGAATTATTTTATAGTTTACCTAGAACAAACAAGTGATAGATAAACAAGGTGTAGGACTAACACAGGGATGGGAAAAGGGATGAATTTTTAAAAAATTTTTTTTTAGGTCCCTTACCCTCCCATGGATATATCCCATTAGAAATTTGGGATACTTAAAAGAATTTTCTGTGTGGTTATGCCATTAACTGAATATATAGTTGGGTTTGTTTTACCTTTTTTAAAAAAATTAATTGATTTATTTGTTTTTATTTTTGGCTGTATTGGGTCTTCATTGCTGTGTGTGGGCTTTCTCTAGTTGCGGTGAGCAGGGGCTACTCTTCGTTGAGTTGTGCGGGCTTCTCATTGTTGTGGCTTCTCGTTGCAGAGCACGGGCTCTAGGCACGCAGGCTTCAGTAGTTGTGGCACCTGGGCTCAAGTGGCTCATGGGCTCTAGAGTGCAGGCTCAGTAGTTGTGGTGCACAGGCTTAGTTGCTCTGCGACATGTGCGATCTTCCTGGGCGAGGGATCGAACCTGTGTCCCCTGCATTGGCAGGCCGATTCTTAACCACTGCTCCACCAGGGAAGCCGTACTTTGTTTTTGATTTTGGGGGTTTGCCTTTTTTTTCTTTTCTAATTAGGTTTTTTTTTTATTGTAACACTTTTACATGGCTCCAAATTATAAAATAAGGTAATTTAGGAGGGGATGACTTAACTTTAAATGGAAATTTATTGTAACTATCTATTTAACTAGTACCTACTTACTATAAGTGAGGTATATATCAACTTCCTAATCTTCAAAACAATTCTGAGTGTAGAATGGTACATTTCTAGAATGTAGCAGAGTGTTTTAGAAGCCTTAAAATGTAGACAGAGATTTATATACAGAAATATAATTTCAGAGAACAATGGGAAATACTCATGATAAAATCATGGGGAAAGTTATGACGTAAAACTTTTAAGACACCATTCTGCATTATGTGTGCATGCTGTGTTATATGATAGAACACACTGCAGTGGGAGTTGGCTTAAAGAGCTGTTAAAACTGGAAGTTGAGGGACCTGCCCAGAGGCTATTGCTTATCAAGGAAGCTGGCTTAAATATGCTGGGGGAGGAGTGAGTTTTAAGATGGGAATAATCAGTTTATCAGTGTCATAAAGACCAATAAGTAGGGCCCTCTCTGTCTCTAGTAAGGTCATTGTGTGAGAATGGATTTGAGAAAGCTCATATCTAACAGCCTTTATTTTTCTCTCAAGTAAGAGGTGGCAAGATCATCTGTTGAAAGTGGAGGAGATAGAGGGAGACTGTAGAGGAATGACTGAGGACATGGAAAGGAGACGTGACCCATGAACCCCTCGGCAGACCGAGGGCTGGCGAATAAGCCAGAAGCCCTCGGCAGACCGAGGGCTAGCGAGTAAGCCAGAACTGCAGGCAGTCCTGGATACTTTGGGCACTGATCCATGAAATGACCTCAGTATAATCAGAAGGATGGGAACACAAGGAAATGTCCTTGTGCAACTTCAGTATAATCAGAATAATGGGAACACAAGGAGATGTCCTTGTGCTGCTTGTGAGCTCAAGGATGAAGCATGGCATGTCTTCAAGAAAGCCCATTGTTGCTTGTCTAATCAATAAAAGCGTATGTTGCTACAGTGGCATTTCTGGAATGTTAAGAAAACAAGTCTTAAGATGTAAACATAGATAATGCTTAAATAAAAGCCACCACAGCAGGACAGACGGTGCTGTATTGCCTGAGCGAGCAGCAGCCCTCTACTGCTGTGCTTCTGCACAATTCATCTCGTGTGATGAGCTTACTTTCGGCCCTGTCATAAGAAAACTACATTTGGCGCCCGAACAGGGACCTGAAGGTAAGTAATCGCGTGATCGTGGGACCGAAGGGGAATTTGGTCCACTCAAGAGTAAGCGAAACCTTCGGGAGCAGTAGAGTCATGGGGAATTCTCCCTCAGTAGAATGTCATTACATTAGACTCCTGAAACAGTTATTACGGAGTTCAGGAGTGAAAGTGAAACAAGAATCTTTTGATGAATTGTTTGCGGAGATTCGTAAACATTGTTACTGGTTTCAACCTACTAGTCATAACCAGTTGAATTTAAAAGTTTGGAAACAGGTTATGTGAGCCTTAAGAAGAGCTCATCAGCATGGAGACCCTATATCTGTACGTGTTTGGTCTCTTTGTAATTTAATTTCCCTTGTCCTGGAACCATTACAATCTGAAACTGAAAGTGAAAATGGGGCGCGCCCTCAGCGTCCCAATTCTGCTCCCCATCACTCTGCTGCTCTTCGTACTCTGTCTCGTGAGTCTCCTATAGAGGACCTTCCTCTGCCTCCTCCTCCTCTTATGTCTGAGACAGGAGAGGATTTTTCAGGTTCCAGTGATGAAGGGGCTTTTTCTGATGATGATAAAGATCGGGAGCAAGTTAGCAAACAAAATGAGATGCCACCTTCTCAACAGAATGAGATTTCTGATATACTTTCTAAGTTAAAAAATTTGATGGTTAAACTGGAAGAAAATAAAAACAATGCTACCACTCCTTCATATCAGGAGCCATGTCCTACTATTCCTTCGGCTCCTCCTTTAGAATTAGCAGCTTATCCTGTTGGAACCTCTCGTCAGTTTCGCTTTCCTCTAAAACCTGAATCTAATAAACTTTTATTGGAAGAAGAGATGAATAAGGAAGAAAAGCAATATTCTGAATCATTTTTTGCTTTCCCTGTTGTTAGACAAGCTATGTCTGCTAATGATCAATTTCCGAATGGATATATGAATGTTGAGTATAACCCTCACGATTTAAAAATTTTAAAAATGCTAAAAGAAGCCATTAATGCATATGGGATGCATTCTAATTATGTTCAAGGACTTTTGTCTGGGTATGCTGCTGAAAACATATTAATTCCTCATTATTGGGAAGCGATTGCCAAAACTGTTCTTGAACCTGGACAATATATGCAGTTTAAGACTTGGTGGAGAGAAGAAGCTGAAAATATGGCAAGGACTAATGCAGCCCGTAATCCTCCAGGGCCACTTTTAGATGAATTAATAGGAGCAGGCGCATTCAGTAATCTACAAGCTCAAGCTCAATTTGACGATTTACGAATCATTCAAATACATATGTGTTGTTTGCCAGCATGGTTACGAGTGCAACCCCCTGGAAAAACAGCACAGTCTTTTACTAAGTTAATGCAAGGGCCTAGTGAGCCTTAACACTGATTTTTTGTCTAGATTGCGTGCAGCCATTCAAAGAGTGTAGCTCAAATAGACGTGCAAGATTTATTATTACAATTCTTGGCCTTTGAGAATGCAAATCCTGAATGCCAGAAGGCATTGCGGCCTTTCCGAGCTGTAAATGCTCCACTTGAAGAGTATATAAAAGCTTGCCATGATATTGGATCTCCTACTTATCATGCCAATTTACTTGCAGCTGCCATAAATGGAGGGTTGAAAGATAATCGTACTAAATGTTACAACTGTGGAAAGTATGGACATGTGATGCAAGATTGTCAAAAAGGACAAGGCCAAATATCAAAACAGGTTAAGAATGAGCAGCCACCTGGTATGTGTCGCCGGTGTGGTAAAGGACGACACTGGACTAATGAATCCCGTTCCAAAAGGGATAAGTTAGGAAACCTTTTGCCTCCACGAGATAATGTCTTGGGAAACGGGAAGCTAGGCCCAACCCGGGGCCGCAGAAACAATACGGGAAAAGCGACAGTAAACTCTCAACAGTATCCAGTAAGCAATGGCAGCTTTTATCAGACACTACAGGACAATCTCAACATCAGCTCTTAGTTACTGATCTCATGCATGCTACCAATGGCAGTGCTGCCGTTGACTTAATTGCTCCTCGAGATTGTATCCTTACGCCAGCAGGAGGAGTACATAAGTTAGCCACAGGAATCTATGACCCTATACCTGCAGGAACCGTGGGGCTATTATTAGGACGAAGTAGTTTGACTCTGCAGGGTGTAACAGTTCATACTGGAGTTATTGATGAGGATTATAATGGAGAAATTTCTATT